AAAAAAAAAAAAATAAACCTTCTGGAAAGGATTCACCATTTTATTTTAGAGACAGAACTGTCGTCCTGGGTAGAGTGCTATGGTGTCACAGCTCACAGCAACCTCCAACTCCTGGGCTTAAGTGATTCTCTTGCCTCAGCCTTCCATGTAGCTGGGACTACAGGCACCCACCACAACGCCCGGCTATTTTTTGGTTGTAGTTGTCATTGTTTCGCAGGCCCAGGCTGGATTTGAACCCGCCAGCTCTGGTGCATGTGGCTGGAGCTCTAGCCACTTGAGCTACAGGAGCCAAGCCGGATTCACCATTCTAGATGCAATTAGGAACATTTGTGATTCATGGGAGGTGGTTAAAATATCAAAATTAAATGGAGTTTGGAAGAAGGTGATTCTAACTCTCACAGATGACTTTTGGGGAATTTCAGTGGAGGAAGTAACTGAAGATGGGGTGGATATGAAAGAAAACTAGAATTAGAAGTAGAGCCTAAAGATGTGACCTAACTGCTGCAATCTCATCGTAAAACTTGAACAGATGAGGATTTACTTCTATGGATGAGAAACAAAGTGGGTTCTTGAGATGTACTCAACTCCTGGTGAAGATGATGTAAACACTGTTGAATAGACAACAAAGGATTTAAAATATTTAGTTGATAAAGCAGCAGGGTTTAAGAGAATTGACTCCAGTTATGAAAGAAATCCTACTGTGGGCTCGGTGCCTGTGGCTCAAGTGGCTAAGGCGCCAGCCACGTACACCCAAGGTGGTGGGTTTGAATCCAGCCCAGGCCTACCAAACAACAACTACAGCTGCAACTGAAAAATTGCCGGGCGTTGTGGCGGGTGCCTGTGGTCCCAGCTACTTGGGAGGCTGAGGCAGGAGATTCGCTTGACCCCAGGAGTGGGAGGTTGCTGTGAGCTGTGATGCTATGGCACTCTACCTAGGGGGATAGCTTGAGGCTCCTGTCTCAAAACAACAACAAAAAAGAAATCCTACTGTGTTTAAAATGCTATTGAACCAGTGGTTCTCAAACTGTGGGTCGTGACCCCTTTATAACAATGAAAATACCTCCTGCATATCAGATATTTACATTATGATTCATAACAGTAGCAAAATTACAGTTATGAAGTAGCAACAAAAATAATTTTATGGTTTTCTCACAACATGAGAAACTGTATTAAAGGGTCGCAGCATTAGGAGGCATTAGGAAGGTTGAGAACCACTGTATTAAATAATATCATGCGCTATGGAGAAATCTTTTGTGAAAGAGTTGATTGATGCAGCACACTTCATTATTGTTTTATGTTAAGGAATTACCATAGCCATCCCAACCTTCAGCCATTACCAGTCAGTAGCCATAAACATAGAGACAACACTCTCTACCAGCCAAAACATTATTATGCACTGCCAGCTGAGATGATTGTTGGCATTTTTAAGTAATTTCGCCCTCGGTAGAGTGTCCTGGCATCACAACTCACAGCAACCTCAAATTCTTGGACTTAAGCAATTCTCTTGTCTCAAACTTCCAACTAGCTGGGACTACAGGCACCTGCCACAATGCCTGGTTAATTTTTTTTGTTGCAGTTGTCATTGTTGTTTAGCTGGCCCAGACAGACCAGGTTCAAACCTGCCAGCCTGGGTGTATGTGACTGGCACCATAACCACTGCGCTAAGGGTGCCAAGCCTTAAGTAATTTTTTTTTTTTTTT